GTCTTCAACGAAGCTGAACTGATGATCACGATGGTCAATAATGGTACAATCACGGCAAATCAATTCTTGGCAAGTATTGCAGAAAAGCTTCTTGACTTCTCCTTTGTGCTTCTCACAAAACAGTTGTTTTTCTATGACTGGGATATCTGTGTTCTTTATCTCATCCAGTGTCATCAGGTGATGGTCTTTGGTTGCTAGGTAACGCTGATGAGCCGTTGCACAAAAGTCACACAGGAACATGCAACAGTTGACACATCTACGAGTAGCCGTCTCTTTCATGTCACAGTTTTCGCACGTCAACTCAGTTTTGCCGCCACCTTTTTCATCAGTCGAGTGGATGGCCAGAAGTGACAGAAGATTGTTGATCCAGAAGTTGACTTTGAGCTTTGTAACATCACCAGATATTATCTGTAAACAAAATTATAAACGGGTGATTAGTGATGACAATATTATTTTTGGATATGAACTTCACACATGGTCAAAACAATCCAAACTAACAGATTTAAATCTTAATTACCTTGACTTCCTCTCGACACTCTGGACAGACAACAGACACCTTTCGTTCTCCTTTAGCCAGGAGATCCTGTAAGCACTGTCTACAGTAGGTATGTAGACAGGGGAGAAGGCGTGGGTCCGAGTAGTGTTCCAAACAGATTGGACACGTGACCTGTTCATCAGTCTTAATTGTAGCCTGTGGTAAAATGGCAGCCATGATGTCTGCAAAAGAAAGTATGGCTGAATTAARAAAACTAAAGAGAATTAACAATGTAAATTGATTTCTTTTGGCTTCCTCTTACTCCACCTATAAGATGCCAAAGTATGTGTAATCTTGCAAAATCATATCAAAGTTGATTGTCGTATTTCCCTGTGTTTTACTCTATTTTTTTCGGTAAAAAATTAGAGTTGATTTCCAAGAAATGCGTATAACGTTTTATTTGGATTTTTGAGAGATATTTCTGCAGCTAACGATAGGAAAGCTCTTTCCACGTCATCTACAACCAAATATGGAATTGATCATACCATATATGTAGTGAGATTTCTCCACTCCAACTTCGACACTAACATATAGAGTAAAGCTTGATAGAGTGCATTCAGTCAAACTGTTGAATAGTGTACGTCACCTAAATTAGAAAAGTAAATTACTATTTTAGCTGAAGTCACCTAAATTTGAAACTACGAGTAAACAGCTACTGAGATCAGGGGGAGAAACGATGATACAAATGAATGTCTATTCACTCATTCTCTGGTAAAACAACCCCCCGGATTAGCATGATCGTTATTTGGCGCGCTTTTACTATTTTAGGTGACGTCAACTAAATAGTTATCTAAGTTAGATACATTTATCTAACTATTCAACAGTTTGACTGAATGCACTCTATGTATATTTGAATGTATATCAGGGCCGTAGCTACAAATTTCTGATTGGTCCGGTTTTCGAGGTTTTTGGGTTTTTCTTACATTTTCAAAATATTTTTCTTATATTTTTTCACCGAAAGTTGGTCCGGTTGAAACCGCACCAACCGTACCGGTGGCTACGGCCCTGTATATAAATAACCTTCTTGGATTACGGAGATCACTATTGCTATCAAAACAGAGACACCGACATGTCTAAGTGATGGAATGAATTAYGTCTTGGAACAGACAACACAATCGCAGCGATTAATTAAGTCACTAAGGCCTTCACATGTTTTTATAACATTAAAGAATGGCTCTTTTGCTGATTTTAAAATTCTTTTTCTTTTTCTATCCCTTTTGTACTTTATTTACGGCGTACTGTGGTGCTTTCGGCCAGCCATTACATTCCTGTGCTGTAAAGGATGAGAAATACCCAAGAATGAAAGCAAATAAATCGCTACAAACGAGCGGGAACATATACCAATGATTTCTTTCTTCGCCATCAAAATGTGCCTAAAGTGCCAAGAATTTGATAGAAATAGAGAATTTGCCAATAATTACTTTCCATTTTCTATAGTTTTGGTTTAAAAACGAATAGAAACAAGAATGTGCGTGAAGCATTCGAGTATTATGCTACTTGGTATAGGGTCATGATGTATTAATGGACATTAAAGACTACGGAATATAGTTTATTTATAATGAAGGAAAGTAATGCTTGAAAGGTTCTAAATCACAAAGCGAACTATAAGACTACRAAAACGACGCACGTTAAGACTGAATAATGAGTAAAAACTGTTCATTTATTTTGTAAATATAAAGGCGAAGCTAGCTCCCCCAGGGATTTTACTCGCCTTTGGAAAACGGAAGTAAAATATCAGAGATTTGTGTTTGCTAGAGGAAATCCTATCGTACGACAATAAAACTTTATCTTACCTTCGTCTTCTACGATCAATAAATGACTCTTTTGCTTTCTTGTCTCTCTGCGTACAGCGTATAGAAGATGTTTCTTTGCTGCGTGGTCGAGCTCAAAGCTTCCCTGCTAGCAGAGTCTCCCTCGTTGGGCGATAAATATATCCCATGATGCATTGGTGCTCGCTGAGTGATACATGTTTTATGCTAAGCCCGAAATGCACTATAGGCGATGTGAATGCAATCAGCAAAAAGTCTAAACATTATAGAATTTTCCCAAATTAGCTTTGTCTGAACATTTTTCGGCATAATTTCTTCTGTGCTAAGATTATTTACATGTAATGGATGTAATGCATCTCACTCAATGGCACATAGAAATGACATAATTATATTATAATTTATTCATTTGCGCCATCCATGCAGTCGGTTTAGAATACCAAACGCGTATTAAAAACAGTGGATGATGCCCACGGGTCGCCGGTCACAGCATGCATCTAATTGACGTATTTCCCATGTGCCATTTCGGTCTCAGCTCTTATGTTCTATGTTTCTGAACACGACAACGATTCTTCATATGAGTGTATATATGGAGCATGCAACATGCAGTATGTAACTTGAAACAAAACCATCATCAATCATTCCTGAAATAGCCGTATATTACAATTTGAAGACGGGGCTGTTGATACTTTATCGAAGAGACAGTGTTCACAAATCAGTTTAGCCTTTCATTAACTATGATGGAGTGAAGGGTGTCTGTTATATTATGAGGAATGAACGAAAATAGATGGGTTTTGTTACGATACGTCTATATGTACTTACTAGGACACTTACTAGGCGATGTATTATTTTGTTAAAAAAAAGCCAACTGGCTCTGGAATCTTGATAGAGTACCATTCTTTATTCCACTTGTCGTTTAGAACACTATAGTTAACAACACTACAGATCTACAAGCCTTGGGTGAAGGTAAGCCTACCAGAAAGACGTTCCTTAGTAGGCCGTTCCTTGGTTTTTAGAAGGAATTCCTTTTTAAACCATTGTCCGTACTAGTTAGGTCCGTGCTTTCTACATCTACAACCTTATACACCCTTCTCATAATGGCTGACGAGTGCACGAAAACGAGGTCACCCAGTTTTTATTTCACGATAAAAGATATAAAATTACATGAAATGACTTTTAAGAAGAAAAGCATAAAAAAATGACCTTTGTTTTGATTTGAATTTGCGCTAACAGCCTTTATTTTGAATGAGCAGCTTGGCTAAACCTTGCAAGATGACTGGGTGACCTCGTTTCCGTGCGTTCATCAGCCATTATGAGAAGGGTGTATGCTTGACCTTTTAACGTTACTCCAAAGGGAAGTCTAATCAGTGTGCGTAAGATCGAGTAATCTAAGTTCTTCTATACATAGTTAATTCTGATTTTTCACTTTACATTTTGTGGCTAGATAAGATCACTACTAAGTTTTGATAAACACAGATGGTAGTGATATATGTTGTGGCTAAGAATGGTCATTGTTAATTAGCCAATTGTATATAAGTATGAACAACTACACAGTTTCTGGTTTAAAGAGTACTAGAAGGCGGTTGTGACATTACCTTTTTTTCTACATTACTGTACCGAAAGAAACTGTAATATATATCACAAGTTATAGCCATTGAAATACATGACATGGGATGTCTGTGGTGGACTGATAAACATAATAGCCCCTTCTGTCTTCAGATGAACTGCAATGAATTCGTTCAACAAGCTAAAGTGTTCATTAAAAGATCACAGACACCAATGTGGCTTTGCAGGCACAAGCAAACAAGGAAGCATGCATGCTGCATGGAAAAGAACAATCGATATACCAAGAAACTCGGCAACTAAGTGGGATTACTGATATCCCCTTCACGGGTTAAATGTCACTACAAAGGCTAGTGTAAGTGGTAATAGCCACCAAAATCGTGTAAAGCGGCTTGTGCAGAATAACATGCGTCCTGTGGACAACATTCCTCCTGTGGTGCTGCTCCTTGGAGGTATCTCTTCTTTGATTTTGCTCTGATTCTCTGGGCTTGCTTGTGAACATTAATTGGAGAACCCAAGATATTCTTCCCGTCGACCATCACATGGATATTGGACCGACATTCATACGTCACATAAAAGCTGTACGTGTCGTCTGTCAAGCTTATTATCGGTAATGTACACTCGTCGCCATATGAGTCAGTAAGATTGGCTTCTATTCTGTCTGCCATGAATTTCAGATTTTTACCAAGCGAGTTCTTGATTTGGACAACGAACTCCAGAATCTGGCCTTGTGTTGCGTGAATATAGCCTTGGTTCTCGACTAAATGGCCATTAATTCGTTGTGCAACAGAGCATTTGTCATAGTCAACTGTAGAAGCGTCAAAAACATTAGCACCATGTATGAAATCACGAATTAGATTTTAGTCAAACTCAAACCCAATGCTATCTTCTTGGCACGGGTGTTCAGGGAAAGGTTTCTCAGASAGYTGTGACAAACGAGCTGTCAGTTGTTTGGATATTGACAGAACATCACTGTTGCCTCCATTTGTCAACACTCTCTCTGTAAATTCAATGGCGCTTTTCAAGCCAGTCAGGTGCATTGTAAGACCATCTTCTTGAGCTGCAAGTTCTTTCATCTTTGTGGCAACAATCTTCTTTGTTTCTTGTTTAAGCACAATTCGTTTTTCTTCCAAGGCTTTGATCTGTTGATCAATAAAATCATCGACGTCTTTTTCAGTGGCTTTTGATGTTTTCTCTACTTTTTCTTTCATAGTCTGGACTGACTTCAAAACTGYCTCGATCTTCTTCTTGGTAACGCTTGCTCTTTCTACTTCTGTTTTAAAGAGTTGTTTGTGTTGATCAGCGACGTCTTCAACGAAGCTGAACTGATGATCACGATGGTCAATAATGGTACAATCACGGCAAATCAATTCTTGGCAAGTATTGCAGAAAAGCTTCTTGATTTCTCCYTTGTGCTTCCCACAAAACAGTTGTTTTTCTATGACTGGGATACCTGTGTTCTTTATCTCATCAAGTGTCATCAGCTGATGGTCTTTGGTTGCTAGGGAACGCTGATGAGCCGTTGAACAAAAGTCACACAGGAACATGCAACAGTTGGCACATCTACGAGTACCTTTCTCTTTCATGTCACAGTTTTCGCACGTCAACTCAGTTTTGCCGCCATCTTTTTCATCAGTCGAGTGGATGGCCAGAAGTGACAGAAGATTGTTGATCCAGAAGTTGACTCTGAGCTTTGTAACATCACCAGATATTATCTGTAAACAAAATTATAAACGAGTTATTAGTGCCAAACGTTTGGACAGACAAGGGCAAGTCTTGTTGACTCCAACGCCACACATGGTCAAATTAATCCAAACCAGTAGCATTCGGTCTTACCTGGACTTCCTCTCGACATTCTGGACAGACAACAGCATCCTTTCTATCTCCTTTAGCCAGGAGATCTTGTAAGCACTGTCTGCAGTAAGTATGTAGACAGGGGAGAAGGCGTGGGTCCGAGTAGTGTTCCAAACAGATTGGACACGTGACCTGTTCACCAAGCTCTTCAGATAACTTTGCAGCCATTCTTGCCAGGGTAAAAGACTCTAAAAACAAGAAGGGGAAAAAGAAATGAATTCGATTCCTTCACACTTGCAGCACCGGTTGGTCAAATAATGACACGGATTCCTGCATCTCCATCTTACATGTGTTCTCCGTAAATAACACAGGCAACCCTAACCACAGGATGCCCAATACACTTCAACTGTAAGCCAGCGGCGATTACTATTTTAACCAATCCATCTGGTTTGAAATTCGTTTGTTAATAGCAAGAAAAGAGCGGGAAAATTTGAATACCGACAAATGGTACAGACATCTACCGGAAGAACCGAAAAGAGCGGGGAAAGTGGATTTCCTCTCGATCGGAAGACCGAGTTTTCCGGAACTTTCCTATCTGAATGACACGTCATTAGTTTTTCCAACCGGAACTTCCTCTTTTTCCGGGTAAATGAAAAGCGCCCCAGATTTCGATAGCAGGAATTTACGAGAAAAGAAGAAGAAGAAAAAAAAAACCAAACGAAAACTGTATAAAAATTGTAAATAAAGCAAAACAAAACTAAAGTATAAATGTCACGTATGGTAACATTTATGATTTATAATTTTATATAGCGCTGTTTAGCAGACCGTATTAATTACGTCACGCAAGGCCACAAGATACGGTAATAAGCACGAAGTAGCCCTATACCCTGATTTCGCTTGTTTGGAAATCGTCGCGTCAACTGATCGTACATAGAATCAGTCGCGTTCTGTACCGATTTTCATCATAATCCAAGAATTAAACCTGTGTCTTATTAGCAAGTTAGGATACRAATAAAATTACGTTTCAGCAGTAACAATCGAAAGGTCAATCGAAAATTTCTTAACCCACACAAGACTGAATCTCATGAATAACACGAAACAAAGCCCAACTGACTATCCGCCACGATTTGGAACGATTTGAACTATTCAGTCCTCGGCGAAAGTTAAGGAATAGTACAAAAAAATGTTTAAAGTACTCGGCAAAGTTTATGATGCAAGTTTCAATGAAAACGTTGACAATGTACGCTTGGTAGACTTATCGTAACTTGCTATAGCTAGAGCGCTCGTGGCTGATTCCAAACCGCCTTCAATACCCCAGTCTTCTTGTACCAAAATAAATGAATATTTAATACTCATAGCAACATATCACTAGAACTTAAAGTCAAGCCTGGTCCTCACTACGACATTAAAGCATAAGCATGAGCATGAGAATCAAAACGTTCTGTTCTTCTCCGATCTTATGCTTGTATGTCACTGAATTTCCAAGTGAGGACGTACATGCACTCTTATGCTTATGCTTGTGCGCTAGTGAGCACCAGGCTTCAGTACTAGCTCTACCTGTTTCTTCTGACAGTCGGTTATCTAGCGAAAATAGTCTTAAACTTCCTTCTTCTTCACCGAGTCAGGCGTCTGTTTAAAAATATCCCATGATGCATTGCGATCATCGTGTAATTCATTAACGTCAATATCGTAGGAATGTTGCCGTGACGACATCAGTTTAGGACCTTTCATGCTAGAGCTATACACACTTAGGCAGGAAGATTTGTAAGTAAATAGATCAAACTGACACAGGAAAAGAACCTTTTAAGTTCAACAGATGGAAATTTGACAAGGGAGGGGAGAATAATTGAATATTTGGTCAGTGTTCATCCTTTGCATGCATTATCAAGCATCAGAAAGCTTTAGCACATTTGTTAATCATTTCATTTCATGTCTGCCTTATAAAGATGACTTACTTATTATTTATGGCCTGGAATGCAGTTAGAATTTCTATTTGAATACTTGAATAAAAACTTAAAAAACCTTATTTTCTGTTCAAATTAATTCACTTTCAAACTAACAGCTCTAAAACTCACCTGGACTTCTTCTCGACATTCTGGACAGACAACAGACACTTTTCTTTCTCCTTTAGCCAGGAGATCGTGTAAGCACTGTCTACAGTAGGTATGTAGACAGGGGAGAAGACGTGGATCCGAGTAGTGTTCCAAACAAATTGGACACGTGACCTGTTCACCAAGTCCTTCAGATAGCTTTGCAGCCATTCTTGGTAAAAAAAAAAAA